ATATTCGTGGATCACAAAATGGTGATGACAATGATAGACGGAAAGGTCTACAGTGTTATTGTACGAGAGTCATTTCAAAAGTGTTATATCTGTGGTGCAACACCTAAAGAAATGAATAACTTGGCTAGACACGCATCAACGGCTCTTGATGAAGGGACATTCGATTTTGGGTTATCAAGTCTTTTTGGGTTATCGTATTATTATTTTTGGGTTATCAAGACTTTTGAGTTATCACAGGCATGAATGAGGAACTAATTAAACGGTTTGCAGTTCCATATAATATGCCATAGACACTGCTAAGTTGTATGTTCAATTATATAATTGGTATTACATGCCGGCAAGTGTTCATAAACTTTTAATTCATGGATCGGACATTGTTAAATCTGCTCTTGTTCCTATTGGGCAGCTTTCTGAGGAAGCGCGCAACAAGGATTGTCGAAAGTTGGGAAGAGATCACGCTAGAAAAACGTCCAGAATCACCAACACCGAGGATCTGTTCAATATGTTATTAGTTTCGTCAGATTCGCTAATTACAAACTTCAGGTCTCGATCCTAAGAAAATAGAGAATATTTCCGATGAAGTAATTTCATTATTAAACAAGTAATTTCAAGAGCAGGAATCTATCACTGCAGAGGAGGAGTCGACAGATGAAGAATTTTCCCTCGCGCAGTATTGATGAAGACTTTTAAAACATTTTTTGTGAGTTTTTGAATATAATTACACCCAACTCTTCATCGTGTAAAAAAAGTTATAATAAAATGTATATTACATATTTATAAAAGAAAAACTATTTATTAGTTTAAAAAAAAATAGTGTACAGGGTGTCCAAATGTCGATGGGTTTGCAGGGTATCCCAGTTATTATGAAAGATAGAAAGTTGCGGCTTTCGCGAACCTGAGCTACTTTTTTGTGAAACTTACAATGGCGCAAACCAAATTTTCATAGCCCTTTTCATTTTTGATATACAGGGAGTATTTGAAATTTACGATTTTCAGACACCTCCTGTAGCTCGGCTATCCGGAAACTTAGTAAACAAGTAAAAATGGATTCTAATAGATTTTTTCACGTGGAATCCAATGGTGCACGTAGAATTTTTCTAGTCATCACGGTTTTTGAGTCATAAACACAACTCAAATACTGAATACTCAACTTCTAAAATACTTAACTCTTTATAACTCAAAAACCGTGATGATTAGAAAAATTCTACGTGCACCATTGGATTCTACGTGAAAAAATCTATTAGAACCCGTTTTTACGTTTCCGGATAGCCGAGATACAGGAGGTGTCTGAAAATCGTAAATTTTGAAACACTCCCTGTATATCAAAAACGAAGAGGGCTATAAAAATTTGGTTTGCGCCATTGTAAGTTTCACAGAAAAGTAGCTCAGGTTCGCGAAAGCCGCAACTTTCTATCTTTCATAATAACTGAGATACCCTGCAAACCCATCGAAATTTGGACACCCTGTACAGTCAAAACTCCAACATAACAATAAAAATGTAAACTAAAATTAGACATAAAAATCAATTTCGCAAGTCTTCATCGCTACTTGATAACAAACGTGCACGTTTATTACGGACTTGACCAAAAGCGCTATCATCAGCATCATCAGTAGATATGTCGGATATATCTAGCACAACTGTCGGATTTAATTCAAATGAAGAATTTCGTTCGTTATTAACGGTCTCTGTTGTTTTTTTGTAGTTGTGATGTCGGTTATTAGCTGCTGTTTTTTGGTTTCTCAATATGCTTATATAATTCTTCATATCCAGCTACACATAACACTATGTTGAAATTTCAATACACGCTCCATGTCAGGATCATGAGTAAGAAAATGTTGTTCCATACTTGTAGCAAATTTCATGCCATCGCGAATTAAATCAGCCATTCATTAATAGCTGAACTTCATCTTCTACCTTGTCATTATCGATTTCTTTATTTTCACAAATTGTCATAAATTCAATCAAATCATCTTCATCCAAAGGGCTTTCTCGCATCAATTCATTGATATCAGCCGTTTGAATGTTGCTAAAACCGTTGCCATCAATTGTATTTGATGGAGTTATAATTTCAGAACACACAGCTGATTTTTCTACTACAAAACTTCCACTTTTGACGCATGCTGGCAATATTTTTTTCCAACAAGCATTTAAGATTGATTGGCGCAATTGTTTAATGGCAACAGAAGCAAGTGTAATGCAATCCATAATCGTAAACTTTCTCCATGCTTCCAAAACAGTCAAATTTGTTTCTTCCACTGAATCTAAAATATATTTAAACGTTTGCTTTATGTAGTACATTTTAAATGTTGCTATAATGCCCTGATCGAGTGGCTGAATCATCGAGGTAGTATTAGGCGGAAAAAGTAGCAGTTGAATATTTGGATAATCCAACACTGGGTGGCTGGGCACATTATCAACGAGTAAAAGTATTTTGAATTCCAAACCTTTTTCTTCCATATATTTCTGGACTTCATGAACAAAGCAGTTGTTGAACCAATCTGTAAACAGATCAGCCGTCATCCATGCCTTTTCATTCGCCATGAAATGGACTGGAAGTTGTTTAATCTTCTTACCTCTTAATGCTCGTGGCATAAGAAATTTGTTGATTAACAAAGGCTTTAACATTTTATCACCAGATGCGTTACTACATAACAAGAACGTTACTCGATCTTTGGCCGCTTTAAAACCACCAGCTGATTTTTCAGATTTTGCTATGTAAGTCCTTTCCGGCATTTTCTTCCAAAACAATCCCGTTTCGTCGGCATTAAATATTTGTTCTGAAAGTTCGGAAAGGTTTTTGCAGCATTTTCGTCTGCTGATGCTACTTCTCCATTTATTTTTACATTGTGAAATCCGTGTCTTTTTATAAAACCTGTCAGCCATCTCACTTGTATTAAATGCCAGTTTCTTCGTTGCCTGAAGACTTGTTAATGGTTCCAATTCCTGAAGTTGGTTATATATTCTAAGTGCTTTTTCTTTTATATGTTTCCCATCAATAGGTATTCTTTTTGACTGTAAATCTTCTGTCCAAAACACCATGTGTTTTTTCGTTTTCTCTAAGATAGGATTTCGACTATAAGATGATGTTTTGGAGCTTACTTTCGATCCAGAAATTACGGATTGTCGAATGGAATTTTCATTTTTTCTAATTGTTCTTATAGTCGCTTCGTTTAAACCAAAAGCTTTGCCAACAGATGTGAGACCTTCGCCTTTCTTTAGACAGTCTAAGATTTTTATTTTAGTTTCTACGGAAATTGCTTGTCTCTTCGGAAGTTGTTGTTTAGGCATTTTATTAAACAATAAGGGTACTATAAAAAGAATCCAAAATAATATTGCTTATAGAATTTTTCTAAAGCGACAATCTAACACAATATTACCTTTTTTAGTAGCAAAGAATTATCATCATTACAAATAACACACTGGAAATTTCACCATCGCATTAAAAAAACTTTAATTTAAACATCCACTTTTAGAACTTTATCGAGATTATTTATTACGTCTCACAAACTGACCACTCTTAACACAAAATACATACTGAATAACGAAATCCTGTGTTCAAGTTGAAGCACAACGAGATAAAGAAAAAAAGTTATCATAAAATTCTGGTATCCCCCGTAGTAAACCAAGTTATAAACATGTGGGCATAAACGGACCGACTTCTGACCACGGTATTCCCCCATTGTATTTTGTTACTGTATACATAAGTTTCTGTAAGACGCTATCAAAATTAGAATTAAAAATTTTTTTTTTGGGATTCGTGTTGTAACAAAAAATTCGTGTAAAAAAATGTATTGGTGAACCGAAAAAGAGTTGGGTGTATGTCCAAAAAAGTTATATTTTTTTCAATATTAATTTTGTCCACCTAGATTTATGAAATGGGCCACTGTGAGACGGGTTTAAAGGTTTAAATTTTTTGGAATAATTTGGTAAAGATTTAAAATTTTTGACGTCATCGATATATTTTTCAAGCAGCAATGCCCCATTTCTATTACGGAATATGAAAGAGGACTTTCTTCTGACTCTAATACAGTCATGATTAATATTGATTACATAAGAAAATTTTCGAGAAAAATTATCTTAAAGTTTCATTATTTTCTATTCTTTTGAGATAGAAAAATAGCAGTAGCCATGCATAACCATGGCAACCAACTGTTTCAGACATTCAAAATTAATCATGGTCTTAATAAAATATCTGAAGCAACTGGTTACCATGGTTACGCATGACTACTGCTATTTTTCTACCTCAAATGAATGGAAAATCATGAAACTTTAAGGCAATTTTTCTCCAAAATTTTCTTATGTAGCTAATATTAATTTTGGCTGAACCAAATTCAGAAAAAAATCCTCTTTCATATTCCGTAATAAAAACTTATATAAAAATGGTGGAAAAAATTTAATATCTATACCAAAAAATTTAAATCCTTAGACCCCTCTCAGCGATTTTTCCATAAACCGTTTATAATTGTTTTAACAAATTTATCCGTTAGTTTTGGGAAGCACTGTATATTGTTTATAAATCTTTTATGTTATAAATTCAATTAGTATTAACAAGCCGCAACCAAATATACATAAGTAACTATATGTCTGTAAGAACTTTATATGGTAAGTGAGTGGTTTATAACTATTGAAATTGTTTTTGTTTGCCAACGTCAACCGACCCGTTTAAAACTTAAAATATCATGCTAAGAATATTGTAAAGAAGACTTCACAGAAAACTTTCACGAAACTGGCTTTCTATATGGCTTTCTATAGCCTCAAGTCGTTTCAAACTACCCAAAAGTTGTTAGTTTAGGTGAAATTTAATACTAACTTGTTATAACTTTCTACGGACAGACGCGTTATTATATAATATTTATTGTGATATTAAGTGTTTTATTTATTCCTAGTTTTACACCGAATAGTTCAAAACTATAACCACATAGTTTTTATGAATGTTTTTATTATTTAATGGAAAGATGGCAATATCGTTCTTGTGTTTTTTAATCTTTTAACTACTTACTTGTGCGTTAATGGGCCCACAAACGGGTTTGCTATCAACTGCACAAATGCCTTCGAGGCCAACATCATTCCTACGTCCACCGTCTCCTCCACCAAATCTTGGTGACGTAATTGTCTGTCTCTTTCCAGCTGTATGGAAGCGTTAACTAAAACAAAAAATAAACATAAGATACATTCTTGAATATGAAAATGATTATTTTTTATTTTACCTGTTGGTTCAATAGTTGCTAATGTGTCGTTAAAATTTTCGTCAGGAACTTTATTATTGTTAACTGGACATGGTGAGGAAGTTGTGGTAATGGTTGATTTTAATTCGTGTAATCTTTGCCCGGCAGTTAAAGGTGCATCTGGGTGGTTGATGTCGTATAAGAATTCGGGGATGATAGGCACTGAAAAAAAAAATAGAACAGTTAATTTTCTGAATATGAACTGAGATTAAATTTAATGACTATAACACAAAAATTGTTAGAGTTACAAAAAAATACTAGTTAAAGCTCTTGCTGTCATTGAAGTAATTAAAGTTTAATGATCGGATAACAACAAATCAGGTTGCAGGAATGCATAAACGCACTATCATCCTTCGATATCAAACAGCAGTTTCAAACATCTGTAAGTGGTCACTTCCGCAATATGTCGGGGTAGAATAAAAGCTTGGGGTCTCCATAATATTACAAGGATAATAGATAAAATAGCTGATGTATTAGCTACGTGAAAGTCGCCTGATGAAGTGCACCCATAACTTGAAACTTAAGGACCGAAATTCCTTGTTCTTATAGATTTTCTATACATAGACACTCCCGTGCGAGTATTCTTGTAACGGCGTTGTTGAAGAAATAAAGAGTATAAGCATCTTTCACAAGTGAATATTTGCCTGTTTTCATTGTTTGACGGCTTTTCAATGATGTTACGAAGAAGAGACGATGTTACAAGTGAGCAAATTAAGTTCCTGTAAGTCGTGGCATAATTTTAATCACAAATACTAGAGTTAAAATGATGATGATTTATGTAAAAATTTTTGGTCTAAATCCATAAATGGCTAAGATATGGGCTTTCAAAGTTAAGAAATTTTAAAACACTTTCATTTAAAAAGAAATTTTATTATGAAATATCGTTTAAGATCACTTTTGAAAATATGCAACCACGGGATCAATGTTATACGGAATGTTCACAAAGGTTATTTCCTGAAAACTTTTTTATTATGTCATAAACCCTTAAATTTTACAACTGATTCTAAAGGCCTATTTCATTTCAAAATTATTTTTAATCTTAGAAATTTATGATAAGACGCATCGTTTGCGATAAAAAGATACAACCTCGATTATGAAATGTTTTCATTAATCGTAGGTGCCTATGAAAACAAATTGTAACTGAAGCAGTAAAGCAACTGTCAAATCATTACCCAACGTTCGTCGGGTAACGACAGTCGGTAATAGTTGTTTAAAATGACAAATAATTACAGTTTTAGTGAGCAAACTGATATGCTTTTAACGTTGGAAGAGTGTTTAGGCAATGTTAATGCAGTAGTGAGATGATATTGCAATAACTGCCAGACGCATAGCAATTGTATCCATACCACTTGTATAAATTGTGTTGATCATTTCATTTAATACAAAATTATAAGCATAATGAAATTACATTTACTTGAAATACTGTTCAATACAGGTTTGTTTTAAGTTTTGAATTTTCATTTGTAACACCTGAGATTCCACATTTTGCTAAAATGTTAACAACTTCTACAGCTAGTTAACCTTTGTTGTTACAAAATAAAAAATTGTACATTCCTTAGTTTTGCACATACTTCAGCCATGTTCTTAATATTTGATGTACAACTTTCAGATTCTTCAACATCACTTTCACTGTTTTATTTGTTTCCATTATTTCTTGGATGTCTATATTGGGATTTTCAGTTAATACATTAGAATCAATAAACGCATAATTTTCCAGGTTTATGTTTGGCATATTTTTTAAACCTGAAAAAAGCTGGAATTTCATCCTCTTCTTCAAAATCGCCTTCTTGTTCAAGATTCTCAAAGAATCCGGCTTTTGCAAAGCATTTTGAAATGGTTGTTGGAGAAACATTTTTCCAAGCTGCTATTGTCCAAACTAAAGCACTGGTCAAATTGATACCTTTTTCTGTATCTTCGAAACAACTTTCGTTGTTTGTAAATGTTAAAAACCTTTTAATTAAGCATTTTCTGTAAGCTACCTTAAAGCTATTGGTGATCCCTTGATCTAATGGCTGGCAATGTGAGTTAGTGTTTGGAGGTAGAAACACTGTTTTTACATGTTCTAATGCAAGTTTGGGATGGGACGTGGCGTCATCCAGAAATAAGAGTACTTTTCTATTTTGCTTTCTCATTTTTTCCTCAAATTGTTTTAGACACGAAGTCATAATCTCTGTTGTCATCCAGACCTTTTTAATTCACTCCTATTTTAAAGGAAGTTTGTTGATGTGCGATCCTTTAAAGCAACGAAATAAAATTGTCAATCCCTGTTTGGTTTTTTTTTACCCGTACATTTATCGCCTTTGAGAATAAACGTTTTGTTCGGCATTGCAAGATAAAACAGCCCAGTTTCGTCAGCATTGTACACATCTTTTGGTAAGTAGTTCTTCAATATCATTTTTAACTTTGTTTTCAATTGGTTTCAAGAGCATCAAATTTTGGGCTGCTTCCACTGTTTTTTGTTTTAATATAGGTTCAGATATGGTGATGTCTCTATTTCTCGCTTTATAGAACCCATTGTAAACTATTTGGTCAATAGCCAGTCCTTCGGTTTTAGGAAATTTTCTTTTTTGTTCTAGATTGGAATTTTCTTCAAACAGCTTTTTAAAGTGGGATTTATTTTTTAAAATGTCGTTCGCTTGTGTTTTTCCAACTCCAAATTTTTCAGCCAACTTTCAAGCACTATTACTGAACTTTTCACTTTCTGTAATGATATCAATTTTGTCTTTAAGCGATAAACGTTTTTTTTTTAGCGACATGTTGATACACGTAGGCACTGTAGAGCGTAGACTAACTCAAAATCCACTCGGGATTAGCTTTTTAAACATAACCTGTCATACAACCTCTATACAAAACAAAGTGTATTGTTTTGGGATTTGAAAATTGGCCGTTTCTAGAGGTGATCGTTTTTTAGAGCTGGTCGAAAATAGAGGGTTTACTATGATGGAAAAATGTACTACTACTATTGCTGCTGCGTGTTCAGATAAAATACTTTTTATTAATTTGATAGCTTGCTCTACTGCTTTACTTACTTATTTTCATAGGCGTCTACGATTAATGACAATATTTTAAAAACGAGGTTGTATCTTGTTGTGAATAACTCTAAAACGATGCGTCTAATCAAAAATTTCTAAGAGTGAAAATAATTTTTAAAATGAAATGGGCTTTTAGAATCAGTTGGAACACTTAAGAGTTTACGATATAATAAAAAAGTTTTAAGGAAATAACCTTTGTGGACACCTGTATAGCATTGATCCCGTGGTTGCATACTTTCAAAAGTGATTTTAAACGATATTTCATGATAAAATTGCACTGTTTACCAAATTTTATCTTTCTAAGACAATTTCTTCAAGACAAATCAAAAAATTTTTATCTTTGAAGGTCCATATCTTAAGCATTTATGGGTTTAGACCAAAAATGTTTACACGAATCGTCATCATTTTAACTCTAGTATTTGCGATTAAAAAGATTTTAAACAAAACTGAACAATGTAGTCTATGTAACGACATTGTCGAGAAGTCTTGTCAGATTTTGAATGAAGTGAGATTATGATTGGTTTGATCTGCATAAATAATAAATTGGTTACCTTCTAAGAAATGCTTGAAATGCTTAATTGAAGCCTTGCATTGTTGGCAATGCTTGATATTGTCAACAATTCTCGATCGAGTGTCGAGTATTTTGTTTGACAAGGAGACACTTTTTTGGAAAAATATGCTATAGATTGAGAAATGTTATTAATTTCTTGGGATAAAACAGCTCAATAATTAGATNCGCCTTCTTGTTCAAGATTCTCAAAGAATCCGGCTTTTGCAAAGCATTTTGAAATGGTTGTTGGAGAAACATTTTTCCAAGCTGCTATTGTCCAAACTAAAGCACTGGTCAAGTTGATACTTTTTTCTACATTTTTGAAACAACTTTCGTTGTTTGTAAATGTTAAAAACCTTTTAATTAAGCATTTTCTGTAAGCTACCTTAAAGCTATTGGTGATCCCTTGATGTAATGGCTGGCAATGTGAGGTAGTGTTTGGAGGTAGAAACACTGTTTTTACATGTTTTAATGCAAGTTTGGGATAGGACGTGGCATCATCCAGAAATAAGAGTAGTTTTCTATTTTGCTTTCTCATTTTTTCATCAAATTGTTTTAGACACGAAGCCATAATCTCTGTTGTCATCCAGGCCTTTTTATTACACTCCTGTTTTGAAGGAAGTTTATTGATGTGCGATCTTTTAAAGCACCGAAATAAAATTGATAATCTCTGTTTGGGTTTTTTTACCCGTACATTTATCGCCCTTGAGAGTAAACGTTTTGTTCGGCATTGCAAGATAAAACAGTCCAGTTTCGTCAGCATTGTGCACATCTTTTGGTAAGTACTTCTTCAATATCATTTTTAACTTTGTTTTCCAGGCTTCAACACTGATCAGGTCGAGATCACCTGATTTACCGCAAAAGGTTTTGAAGCTTATTTCATATCTACGACAAAATTTTTCAACCCACCCATTTAAAGCTTTAAAACTCAAGAGCTTCAAATTTTGGGCTGCTTTCCTGCTTTTTCTTTTAATAAAGGTATGGTGATTTTTCTATTTCTCGCTTTACAGAACCCATTGTAAACTATTTGGTCAATAGCCAGTCCTTCGGTTTTAGAAAATATTCTCTTTTGTTCTAGATTGGAATTTTCTTCAAGCAGCTTATTAAAGTGGGATTTATTTTTTAAAATGTCGTTCACTTGTGTCCTTCCAACTCCAAATTTTTCAGCCAACTTTCTAGCACTATTACTGAACTTTTCACTTTCTGCAATGACATCAATTTTGTCTTTAAGAGATAAACGTTTTCTTTTTAGCGACATGTTGATATACGTAGGCACTGTAGAGCGTAGGCTAACTCAAAATCCACCCGGGATTAGCTTTTTAAACATAATCTGTCATAGAACCTCTATACAAAACAAAGTGTATTGGTTTGGGATTTGAAAATTGGCCGTTTTTAGAGGAGGTCGAAATAGAGGGTTTACTATGATGGAAATATGTACTACTACTGCTGCGTGTTCAGATAAAATACTTTTTATTGATCACCATTAATTTGATAGATTGCTGTACTGCTTTACTTACGATTTATTTTCATAGGCATCTACGATTAATGATAATATTTTAAAAACGAGGTTGTATCTTGTT